AAATTTTACCTAGAAGTGGGTGTGCAATTGCGTCAGCTCGTCTAGTATTCCACCGTGCAATACGCAATATCTGAGGCATCTGTTGTCATCTCGAATCGAACACGAGTACTCCGTTCTTTCTTCCTCCGAAAAAACAGAGTTTTTCATAAACTTAATTTATTATTTATCAACTCGAAAGGTCTACGAAAATCTATTATAGCGCAACTGTCTGAAAATACAAAAGGTTGCCGGTTTCAAACTTGCTAATCGTCTGTATTACGAAGTGCCAGCGAGAATTGTATGGGTAGTTCGCTTCAAGCGAACGCGGACTTGACGATCGGCGGCAGGAACTCTTCACACCGAATTTTACAAGCGACTGTGATTAGAAAGCAACGATCTAACACACAATTCATCCGACCACGAATACTATTACGCTCTCAAGAATTGAGCTGCTCGCTCTTGCTTAAAAATCGGTTGCTATCAATTGTCGACATGAGCGAGTTATTGTTATAGGCGTAGTTCACGTTAGATCCTGGCCAGGACAGTTTGATCGAATACCAGGAACCGTTCCTGCATACGAAATCAGTAGTTGCGGACACTAGCCATGACTGGATGTTTGACATAATTTCGAAAAACAAGGTACACTTGTTCCGGAGGGACCACACAAGGACCGCAAATGCAGTTAACAATTTCAACTCCTTAATTGAAACAATGATTTATGCTTGTTTTTTTTTTCGAAATAATGCGCACAGCTTATTTAGCTATGTACCGCAAATATTTCGCTAAATATATTATTCAAATTTATCGTTTCTCAAATTAAAGATTTAATAGAAGCTTACTTTTAGTAATTTAATTTTTAAATAATTTAAATTAATTTCGCCAGAACGTTTCCACTTACCTGTGCAAACTCATCGTAACTTATACACAACTTATATAATAAAAGAATTTAGAACATTTCATAGAAATGATTTTGACTCAAGTGAATATCAGATACAGCTATTTAGCAGGTCAACCAGATGTAGGTAGTTGCTCGTACTCATTTCAACTATATTCAGTTGTTACTCTTTTTAATAGCTTAAATTGTGAAATAATGACAACACTGAAAACATAGCGCTTGTTCGAAACCCAGTACAAACTTTGTGTTGCTGAAGATGAACTTAGGAAACGATTACACAGTATTTCAAACGTCGTCTCAAGCTTTGCTCAAAGGAGCAACAAACTTTAAAGAAATACGACTTCCGCTAATGGTAATTTCTTGCGCATAAGAACAAGTAAAGACGATATCAAAAATAGTAACACTAATGGCAGTAAAAAAGGGCTACAACGATACCGATAAACTATTATACTGACAATATATCCGATCAAAAATTTCCCCAAACCAAACGAATTCTTATCCGCATTGCCACCAGCCTGGACCCATATGTTTTTTTTTTTCGAGCTGCATTTTCCTTTCATCTCAAACACCATTAGTCATTCGCTTACGCCGTGCTGGACCGTATTGGAATTCCCAATGTCTCCGTGGTACGGCGTGACATATGCAAAATACGTCGTGCACGAGCTCGCTTACTGATGCACGATTATCCCACAGAAAAGGAAGGCCCAATTCGTGTCTTCATGCGGAAACGAAGGAAGAACAGTCATACCCACCACGTCGACAAAACCAAACAAGCAAACTCACGTTTCCAGGGTCTTATTAGAAGACCTATTCACATGTATAGAAGATATCAGTTATGAACCCTTTTCTAAATGGCTGCAAATATGGTAGAGAAAGAAGAGGAGGAGATTTGGGGCAACGAGTTGTGGGGCCAGGACTTTTTTAAATTTTAAACAATTTTAAAATCAACGATTGTTAGAAGCTTCAGCTGCTCAGTCGTCTCCCGTCAGAGAAAAACCTTGTTTTTCCTTTTGTTGGGTTCGTTACACATGCTATTAACAAGAAAGCTGAACTAACCGAATACTTGTATCTAGTAGTGGTTTACTGCCAAACTGAAGTCACTGCAGTACAAACCTTACCACCAATAATATAACAACAGATATATGTGTATGCTTCTAATATATGGCGGCTAGCTATTCAAAGAGGTAAACATTAAAATATATGATAGTGCGGTATTGAAATCAACTGATACAATATCGTCCACAAAATGTAATATTCATTGGTTTTTTATTTATTATATATAATATCTCTGCTTCAGAATGAAGTACCACAACTTACATATATATATATATATATATATCAGATAGATTTCGTGCACGTTAAGTTTGCCTTCATCTTTGCTTCCTTATTGATGAACAAATTCGTAGTCCCTATTACCTCTGCGATTCGAATCTCCGCGTTCCAACTTCCATGCACGTGCATTTCGACTGAATTTATTTGTTTTATTTTACAGCAGCGATGACTGTTTCGCCCTTTTGCTGATACGTAACCCTATCGACGCTCGCTTCGAAACGGTGGGCAATAGAAGGCAGCCAATAGTGGTGTATAGGTGTAACTGCTCCATAGTTCCCGTTCCTGACTCTAGTGAGTCAGGAGCTTTAATTAGATACTAATAAAGAGCGATTCCATTTCGATCTTTCAAGTTAAATGAATAACTGGATGATTTCAAAGTAATTACTACTTATGATCTTGTGCGATTTATTATGTCACTCGAAAAAGCAGCCCACAGGCGTTATTCTAGATAAGCCGTAGTGGTCAATTAGTATTTCTGATCTACACTCTCAAGGGCACATATCGTTATCTTTTTTGTATCAAATCAAGAATCTGCTCGTCGTTTTGCGTGGTTGCGACCCGCTTTCTATGGCACTCTTTTGGATATCAGCGCACGTCCAAACCAAGGGAGAAGTCTCAAAAGAGAGGTACTTAAATTTAGTGACATAAGACAACTAGCCATCATTTATAGAAAATACTAAAAAAAAACTATTACCTACTTCGGTTACCATCTGCAACCGAGACGGCTCACCTTGTCGGTTTATCATATGTGCCCTAATTCTGCCTCATCTGGCCACCGTCGAAAGTATATCCTGCACACATACATAGATTGAAAGTATTGAATACTACTGATACCCTGCAGCAATTCAATATCAGGATCGACATATATCCCTATACTGTATACTTTTAACGCATTGTCATTGAACATTTATTACTAATTAATATCATTGCTATAAAGCGTCTAAGTGTACGTATAGCATTATAAACGGTTCTATGTTAAAGTCCTTACGACTATTAAGAAGCACGTAGGTTTTCGCCGAAGGACTCATGCGTCCGCGCTAAATTGAACGTTGGCCATATTTATGCGTATCAATTGATCTCATATAGGCAATAGGAATAGACTAATCGTAGATACGTATGTTAAACTCCCGATACCATACATATAAGCATCGAATCGTTTTATACTTATACTTGGAGCGTTCGATTCAGATAACTGTTTCAACTATCAAAACAGTTAGTACGCCCGTAATGATCAACATTCAGCAGTTCGGGCACGGTAAAACACGGGAATAACAACAAACGAATAACTGCGCTCTGTGTACAAACACTGCATTGGTAACAGGCAAAGTTCCACGCTTCGAGATCATCAAATAGTGGGGTGTCCAAGGTTTAGGGTCATGTCTTTTAGGTGGAGCCTAGCTCTGCGCGTTGTGGAATAGAACAGATATCCGACATCACTCAGAGACACTGTCTGTGATGCCAACAAGGCTATGGAACTAGGCAGAAGAGATTTTAGTACGTGTTCATCTGATAGAGAGTATACGAACAGATATTAAGAGACTTCAATTGTAATTGTTCTTCACGCGGAGTGATGAACACATATTGCTGTGAATATTCGACAGGAAGAATAAACACCACTTGTGAGAGGTACTTGTTAGTACTCAATGATGGACCTCGAGGGAATTTTTTTTGTTACAGTTTTGTGCCTTTCCTATTTGCTCATACATACGACACCGAGTTGACCTTGCTCTGTTTATATTAATCGAGTACAGTCTACTGCATTTGCATTTTAATTCCATTTTTACTTGATAGATATACGTTATGCGATAAGAACGTTTACTACGACGAACGTAAGATACGATGGACTACGACGGTGGCCAAAATGAGCTTTGGACTTCCTTAATGTAGAAGCAAAATTATCTAGAAAAAAAGCAGGTTTATGTGAGGACGAATTGTCGCGATCGACCAACGATTTACCATAATTTCACTAAAATTTACACCCACGGGACGGAAACGGACTGTACGACGCACTAAAGGCTCTGCGCGAGGAAACATGCCACTCTGAAAGCAGTTAATCGTTGAAACCTCATCTAACTTATCTACGATTTTGCATTACTTGAACTTTACACAATAATATTATTGTAGAATGTCTACGTAGCTGCTGTTTGTACCTTCTACATGAAATACACTCTATAAATCTAATACAGCCTGCGATTGTCACTATTGAAATAAGCACATATTAGATGTTTTCGTGATTTATGTTTATTTACACGATTTTTATTTATTATTATAAATAATTTCTACTTAATTCTTCAGCCTTCCTGTTTTGTCTGTTGCATGACTTTTAACATATACCCTCAGCTGAGAATGGACTGGGAACAATGAGTCGTTTTGTCTTATTTTTATTATCACCATTATGATAATTGTCATCCACTTCCTTAATATCATTATTTATGTTGTGTTTGTTACTATTCTTGCTGATGTCGTATTCGGTGTTTTACCAACCGCCTAATAAAAATAAAACATTATCGAGACTATGTGTCGTCTGCTCTTACGGCGGAATAACGGCGACCTCTCTCTCAGAGCAGTACGACTTCGAGCTCAGGCAGCTGGTAAGGCAAGAATTATTCTTATTATTCATATTATCAATACAAAACAGAAACGACTAACATCGTGCAAAGTCATTTACACCTGCGCTCCGGCTTGGATTGTATCGCCTACGCTATCACGACGATAACTCTTGCAATTTTTTTCCTATACACATGTTTTCCGTTGACACGCTCTCTCATTATTAGCGCACAGTTATTTAGTGATGTTTTTTTTCTCTCTCTCTCTCGCTCTCTCTCTCTCTCGCTCTCGCTCTCTCTCTCTCTCTCTCTCTCTCTCTACTGTGTATGTTTGATAGGCGCAGACTTTTCCGGTAGCCCCTAGTTGTCTCGTCTCGTCTCTTCGACTGCGATGCGCTTAGGCGCAGCCCGCATATCAGGCAGCTGTCGTCATTGGTAGTCGCAGATCAGAGAATTAGTAAATTTCCTTGGGCTAGTTTGTAAAATTCAGGTTTTTTACTTGCTAGAAAATTTATTGTTCAACGGTCTTCCCCACAGCAGCCCCCACGACATCGTATTGGTACACTTATCCCTCTTTAACATGTTTACCTTATTACTATGTTCAATTAGGGGTCTTATTGAAGCATTCTCACTTAGACAGGCTTGACAAATGATTACTGTCTCACTTTCACTATCGTTTTGTTATTTTTTTTCGAATGCCAATAGGGGGAAGATAAGTTCCATGTTGCCTACCTTAAATTCGCCATTTATTATTATTATTATTACTAGTATCTGGATAGTTTGTGTTTTTGTTTAGGTAGTCATTATTGGTATCTTTATTATAATTTCCCATTAGATCTGAAACGTTTCTATCGGAACCCTTCCATCTCGTGTTTCTACTTCAAGTGCTGATGCTTTCACGCTTCGGTTGGCCTATATTACGGCCTGTTCTGTTTTGATGCACTTGTCGACGAACTTCGTATCTACACAAATAAAAAAAAAAAATGTAATCTATGTCCGCCTGCTACTACGACGCTTTAGCAGTGACGCTTTCTGTTTTTTATTGTTCAAATATACAGTTTACAGCTCCAGCTGTCGGCCGACCAGATCTCGGTCCGACCAGTTCGTCAGTTTGGTCAAGCCAGACTCGATTTTTTTTTCTGATTTGCCTGGCGCGTCTAATTGGCCACTGTCAACGGAGCGCATCATAAAAGGAAACGAACCTGAGCAGCGACAGTGAGTGATATTAACAGCGACTGTCGTGGCCGCTACTGCTTACCTGCCGGCAGACCAGTTAACTGAACCATCGCTGAGATCTCTGATTCTGTCTAGCAAATTTTTCGACCATCCAGTATTTCTTTTTGTTTCTCGCGAGACAAAAACACCAACGTGATCTGTATGCACCTTGTTACTATTCCCTTTTCATTGCGTGTTCATTGTCTTCGTCCATTACATCGTACATGCAGTTCTCTGTACGTACATGCCATCTACTGTTGTTACTTTGTCGCCATCTTAATAACGTCTGAGAATAATCGTTTCGTTTTAGCCTTCCTATCATTATTTTTCGTGTCGTGCTATATAACTACTATGCGTTTTTCTGCACTCCGCCCTCTTTGTGCACATACATACACAATTCAATGACATATTACTTCAGTCAGGGTAATTATCAATATGAACATATCATCAACATGGGCATCATCATCATCATCATGTTCTTTCATAAGCAGTATCAGCCATCGATATCAATGAAATCGTCTTTTCTAGCACCACCGAAGTTACTAATGCGACACACGTGCCACGAGCTTAAACATTCTTCTACGGAGAAAGAAAACTATTCACACCCCATTAGTTTGCTATGTATACTGTATCTAACTTACGTTAAACAGTCATCATCATGTGATGGAATAGGACGCCCAAGATCAAAACGAGTTAGTTCGGGGCATTTAGACCGCCAAATAGACAAATCTTTAGTAACCTGGAGAGAAAAATATGATTGTGCATCAGCTCGAAAGTGTGACAAGTTCTAGTCGGCCAGATCACCCAGTCTTTTGCATGTTAGCTGTCCACGGACTTGAAGCTCAATAGCACGCTTAATTCCATGTAACTCTTCCTGTATGTGTGTGTATAGATGGACCGGATTTTTGTCTTTTGACCTCGGGCGTCGAGCGTTAGTCCCGAGCCGTTTCCCGATCACGAGGTTGAGTTCGCCCGTCACTTTATCTTGTAAGAAAACTGGGCCTCAATGGCCCACCACCGTTCAACCGGCGACAAGATCTGATTGGAGAATGGCTCTGAGCAGTTCAGCCGTCACAGTTGAAAGCCGTCGAGAAAGATCACGCCACGCCCGTCCAGCCTGCGACCGTAATCGACAGGCTGTGGTCGGATATTTAATCAGTATTCTAATCAGACACAGCCCATTATGTCGACTAATACAGGTTGGAATTGAAATATTGTTATCTAGAACGCTGTTGAATTGGCTATAAAGGAAAACTGCATTACGTATATGCCTGCGTCTCCATTTTGCATGTATAACTAAACGAGAACTAGCGTAAAGAAATAATAGCCCGAACCTTTTTGGTAGAACCGGTCCTTCTTGGCAAGCTAACGATTTTCTTGTACAGACTGAGAGCAGCGCTTAAAATTAATGTAGCGTGACTTTTCGTCGCGGATTGTTCATAACGATCCGAACACCTGAAGGTTCCGAAACATGAGTGACAGAGGCTCTAACTGATTTTGAAAGCTTGAATTTTAATTACAAGCTTTTTAGGTCATCGAGTTGGGGGAACAGTGCACGAAGAGTTGACTTCTGCTATAGTTATAGTAGTAGTGATGCAGTGCAGGGCAGAACTCAGAGTTTATGCGCTCGGCTCCGCACAAGCGCAGCCATTCTCGATCTTCGCCTCCGTTTGCTATTAGGGTCGAACTGGGGTTTTTTTTTTTAAAAAAGAGTAACAAGGGGTTAGTGGTTCACCTCATATTCACACCCTTCGATTCCAGCTTCTTCAAGTGAATGGGCGATTGTCGCAATGACAGCCTAACCCCTCGACTGTACCGGATTCCAGTATAGCTTATTCAATCGACTTGTTGGCAAAGGCGGACAGAAACGGCAGGGCAGAAAGGATAAGGCGAACGCAAAGGTCCTAAGTAAAACGAAGTTAAGTTCGGAGCAGACGCGGCCCAACATCGAATTGTCGCGGCTGGTTGAACTAATGGCAAGATGGCGTAATATATCGCGGTCCACTGCATCGTCGACTTACAGGAAACATCGAAATTGCTACAGCCGCCGCAAGATTTGGCAAACTCGGCGTCAACCGAAGGTCGGTTTAGTTCGGTGCGGCCACTGAATATCTGGGCAGCAGGACCTCTCGCGGGATTTTCCGACCCTGCTACTAAGCTTTTGTGCTGCTCGACGAGAGGGCTCGCGCTCCCATTTACGTGCAACTCATAGGTTTCGTACAACTGATGCAAAAAAGATGATTATACCAGCATATTTACCAAGTTATTAGGCGCTCGGGCGCTGGTGGCCAACTGAAAAGACTACTTGTGCGGCAACAGCAGTGGTCTGGCCTATTATGCATCGGCCTTGCAATCGATTTCAGTCAACTAATTGCACTCAAAGGGGGAATTGGTGGTTATTGTTGTGGTTGTATTGGTTATATATATATATATATATATATATATATATATATATATATATATATATATACACACACAACAGGTTGCCTGTGTTTATCTCCAGGCGTTATTATCAGCACTTTTATCCTTGTTAGAGAGAAAATGGAACGCTCTCAAGTTGTACATGACGAAATCTGATGTGTTATTCATCTCGCTCTATTTTATTTGTCAGCATTCCGCTGGGATCCATGCCGGCTCTGTTGTGTGTTATTTTAGGGTGACCATTGCACGATTGAGCATCCGTTATATCTAATAAGTGAATTAGATACCGTAAAGCAAAGTAACAAAGAATCATGTATGGCAAGAAAACGAAGTCACTTCGCCTGATTTGAACTATAATGTATAGTTATTTTGATGGGAAACATTTTAATAACAGTAATTAATAAGACACACACTGTTGTATATACAAAGTAAGCGAATAAAGTTCTCTTTTCTTCAAAACTACGTTTCACAAAATAGTAGAAAATGACAGGAGAGTCGGTAACAAACGCGTGATACATCTTCTCATTTTGTTTAAACCTATTCCTATGAATTGATTACTTATGACTGCGTGTGCTTCTTTTTACCAAACAAGACTTGCTTGGTTTGGGCGTTCTCTCGAAACTCATTATATCGGTATTCGTTTTCAGCCAACAGTGATTGAAGTCCATTAAATCCATTAGGCATACAATGGCGGCCGCAATTTCTATCGGGATCCGGCATCGGCTCCCTTCACGTGTTTGGCTTCCCTATGCTTCTAATGCTCCGTATATACAGAACTGTCAATGGTGCAGATTGGACTAAAACGCTTTGAAGGGTCTATCTGGCCCTGCTGACAAAATGGCCGCTTGGGGTCGGTTGACAGTGCCCCGAAATTAAGACTTGAAAGAGAAAATGTGCACCACATTTTCGCCAGGTAGATCATTTTCGGAGAAGCATTCATCAAAGCGGAATGCGGGCGGACAAAAAATTTTATAAGTAGCTTTTTTTTCTTTCAGTATATACAGTAGCCTCATTTCCCCAACAGTAGTTGGCTCGTCGACCATCCCGAATTCCCTGATGATCGCAAACGGTCAAAAAGAGGACGGCTAGTACAAAGGTTGAACGAGCGCTGAGCTGTTAGAGGGCACAGCGCGTACGCTTATCATTAAAGCTTCGGCGAAAGGCCGGGTCCACGATTATCTACGTTTGATACAAGCAAATTCCTTGAGCTCCTGTTAGTTTTCAGGCTGGCGGCACGACCCCATCTTTGACGCATGGATAAAGCATACATGTTGGTAAAAGGGAACGATAACGGATTGCACAATAGGCTTAACAGATAATCGGTGGAAAGTATGCTTGAGAAATAAAGATGATTACGAGGCAGAAGTGGACGTGCCCAAAGGGCGAATTAGATAATATCGATGAATTAGGCAGCTGAAAGTGGTCGATTGTGGAACCCACAAGTTGGTCGTTGGGAAACAAGTCAGTAGAGGGAAAACACGCTTTATCGTCATCTAAGTTAGCTATGACGGTTTCATTGCTGTTCATAGAATATTGATGAGCTGTTGCGCTCAATAAGTTTGGCACCATCCAATCAAGCAGGTGAAATCGATGAAGAGCACAAAAGCGAACCAAGGGGGGATGTTATAGAAATGGGTTATGTAGCTGATTATGAAATAAGGGTAATTTTTGCATGAAGCTTGCTATTTGGAACGAGGTAAGGTGAAGATGTGGGCCAAGGCGGTCAAATCGCTGAGGATGTTGGTGGAAGATGCCGTCAGTGTGAATAACACACCGGCGAGCTTCAACCTCATATCATACTACCCTTCCTTTTTTCACTGTTCCTTTTCCGTCCAACCAGTGGAAGCTATTGCTGTCCGATGGAACACCTCATCGTCATCTTCGTCTCTCTCTCCCTCTCTCTCTCTCTCTCTCTCTCTATATATATATATATATATACATACATGTATATATATATCCTGCTGTTTCTCTTATTCTTTCATTTTATTTTTCTTTGCCTTTTGCGGTTGTCTGCTAAACTCACCTTATCTGCGCTTCATCGTAAACTACCATCATCATCATCATTATTATCATTGGGATCATTATTGTCAGCCTATTTTAAGACTCAATTTCTCGTTTCCTTATTTTAATCTGCTTCTCGTATTCATATACTATATAATAGCTTTGTTTTTGTATATATATATATATATATATGTGTTTATTTATATATGTACAAAATCTACAACATGTATATCACCCATTACGAAGAAGCATTTGTAATTAGTGTCCTCCTTCCATTTATCAGTTATCAATCATTTAATAAATACCAGTATTCACCGTACCTCCAGGCGACCCTTGTAACGATCACCTTGCTTCCTTAGTAACTATTCTTCCAAGCTTTTCTTATCATTTTTTCCGATTTATGTGCTTAATAATCATCACCTTATCCATTTTCTTTGCTACCTGTGAAATCACTATTATAATTCATATCAGCATAATAATACTCTTCGTAATTATAGTAAGCAGTTTGTCGTATTCAGTGTATCTGTCTTTATCATCGTTTAGTGGTAATCGCCCATTATGCTGTTTCAACATACTTTTCGTATATCTACAAATTTCGCCAAGTTCAAATAGTAAAAATAATGTTACATATCGTTTTTAATATTATCATTGTAATTAAACTCTCATTTTATTATTACTAGTCCAACTCCATGCCGAATGATCTTAGGACGGTCGCTGATGCGAAAGCATGGACCCTCCCACCCTGCCGTTTATACGACCATAGCTTTTCGTGCAATTACTGTACATTTTCAAAATTCTCTCTCTTTTTTTTTTTGTTCTCTTTCTTTAAGCCAGCGGCATGTCTCTCCGTACTGCCAAAATTTCTGGAACCCATTTTCCCCTGCTATTATCAGCACCAACATTCAGCTTGTGCATTACTGCCTTAGCCTAACGTCCATAATATAGTAGTGCGCTTGACATTTCCGCCCGCCGTTGCTCCACAGTTCGATACGTGCTAAGTTAACAATTGATTAACATTGCCCCTCGATATAATTAGATGTTCTAACCCGCATCAGCCTTTACTGCGTATCCCGTTGAAGTTATCCCCCTTCAAGCAACCGAGCCCCCCCCCCCCAAAAGAAAAACACGCAACATGACTGGCAGTCGGAAATTGCCTTTTTTGCGTCCCACTTGTACACCTTCTTAGTCTTCGACTGCGCATTCTCTCCCTTATCATCGCAACCGGCGACACTATTTTTCATTTAATATAGTAACATTATAATATGAATATTATTTATATATATACTTAAATCTTATCATTATGCTCGTTACCATCACGTCATTATCTGATGTAGTTTTGAGACACTTTTGCTCTAGTAATAATAGAGGCGAGATAGTATTTTCGTCGTTTATGCGGAGTTTTGTGAGACAGCCAGGGTCGAGGAGACGTTACAGTAGGGCTTACGTTGCCCCCTATATCTGCGCTAACCGTGTTTTGTTCTTCTCTGTTTCATCCGCGTTTATTTGTGCTTCTGCTTCGTCTGCTTGGATGTTGTTCTTGTTGTTGTTGCTGTTGTCGTAACTGAGTAAAAGAGGTTATCATCTATAGAGCGTGAGGCTTGTGTCATACAATGTCTGCCTCGTGGTAGGCCTGGTAAAGCGTGGGCGCACAAGACGAGGACGATGCACCTAGAGGGCTTAAGCTTAGATTGAGCCCAAACTGGGCGCCGAGCGTAGGTGAACCGGCTACCCCAACGCCTCCACCGACACCGCCGCCTCCGCCAAGGGTACCCATCGATGTCATACTATTCAAATTGCCAACGGGACCTATAGGGCCCATGGCCATTGAGCCAGACCTCGCTATAGGCCCAAGGCCGTCCGCACGACCTAGCGAAGGCGCCACTACGAGTCCTTCACTAGGTCCCGTTGTGCATCGTGTCGTTAGGCCGTTCAGATTCAGACCCGAGCAAGAATCTGCCCGTGCAACCGATGGCCCGCGTTTATTCGGCCGGCCTCCACAAAGGCGACACAGAACGGGTTACCTGGAACGAAGTTAAATAGGGAGAGGTCAAGAAACATTAAATGGATGAAAGATTTGAACGGCGGGAGTTTTACTTGCAGTAACACTTATGTCATTGTTAATGGCAAAATGCAAGTATGCTATATTTGTGAAATAAAGAGACGGTTGCGCGCAACAATATTTACAGTTTTTTTAAATTCGATTTCTTTTAAATGCTATTGTGCATCGTACCTGTGGCGCTTGACAATCGCGTAGCTAATGAAGAGAAACACCATTATAGTCCAGTTCGAACACCCGACACTTCGTGGACACACCGAACTCAGGCCGGGACTTGCATCGTGCTGCATTGCCGCGGGTTTTTCACCTAAAAACAATTCAAATCGGCAAATACCACACACATTAGTTTCGACGATAATATGGTTCGACGCGAGTACTAATACAGTAGAAAGGATTTCATGCTTACAGCTATAACTTACCTAAAGCACTAACAAGGTAACGGCTATACGGCTTACCCGTTCACAGAGGACACCTAATAACAGGACTTCATTTGTTGATAACATGGTCTAATAGACGTTTTCACCTTGTGATTAGAAATGTTTTTTTTTTATCTGTCCCTTATTTGGCTTAAAATTCGGGGTTCTTGTTTTCTCCATGACTAAAGTTTCTTCCCTGGCGTGGCCTCCGCTGCCACCTTCAGCATTACCATCATCACCAACTGATGCTTCAATATATATATATATTTATCGCACTTTTTGTGAAGACCTTCCTCCTTTTACATTAATCTTAGCAGATCGAAACCCCAACTTGCATCGTTTGAGGTCTTGCTCTTCCTGGCACACAGAGCTGCTGCAAAACAGTTTACCCACGATCCATCCCAAAAACTTAACGAAGAACAGCCAACACAAGAATGTAATGACAATATTATTGTCAGCCATGGTGATAATAGTATTAGTTCTAGTAATGTTAATATAGATGAGAATCGCCGCTGCGCTGGTTGTGACAGCGTCTTTTCAGCTACAATGATAGTGGTGATTCGTCAATTCATGATCTATTTACGAAGACAGCACAAATGTCGAAGCGGAACCAGTAGCGGCACAATTTGCCTACAACGAGGTCTATTTTTGCGCGGAAGCAGCCTCATTCGAGCCCCGCAAAGCCTGAAATATTCGACTCAATAGAAGGAAAAAGTAGAATGGGTGAAAGAGCGCCAACTATGGCACTACCATATAAGAGAATAAGACGCAGGAATAAAGGCAAAGCGCGTTTTCCGTTGACCAAGACTCTGTGCCACCGTAGTGCCTCAACCCTTTTCCCAACTGCCTAACCCCATTTTGTCATGCTTTCGTCGGTCGTTTTCTTCCTTTCTGCCTTGCCCTTCCCTCTTCCTCCTTTCGTTTCCTCCACTCTTAATGGCTGCCTCTTCTCCGGAGTATTTTCTACATTTTCTTTCTTTAGTGGCGGCGCTCAGTCTAGTGGCATTTCCCCTTTGGCTCTCTTTATTCCGAACTTTGGTCGTGAATAAGGTGGCACTATACTGAAACGAAGTATGGATGAGCCAACCCCTGCCGCCGCACTACCGCTCCCGATTTGCGTCGATGAAAGCGGTGCAGAATGAGTGCTCAAGCCAAAGCAGAATGAAGGAGATGACAAATCCTTCCGTCCACATGTTCGGCGTCTGTGGAACCGGACTCGGTACGCCGATATGTGTGTGTGCGTCTCGACTGAACACGAGGAATGGCTGATCGTAGTCGCTCTCTTTTGCTTGGGCTAAATGCGAATAAGAGGACAAGTTTAGAGTGTGTTCTACGTGGATCTCATGTAGACACACGTGCACAACCGCCCACACCCTCCTGAGAGGGAGATTTTCGAGGTGATAGGAGCAGAAAAGGCGATGTAAACTAAGAGCTAAGAAAGCCCAGAGTTGGCCGTGTCAGCTGAACCCCAGCTCGAACGTAGAGGCAAAACGACAAACCGTGGCTATGTGAGTGACGACGAACCGCTATCGGCTAGGAGCGAAGAGAACGCTGACGGGGCAGAGATATCCGGTCGCTTGGCTGTTCCTGATGCAGAGGAGACAACATCCTGCTCCAACGCCCGCTGTATGATGGTCTAACTTGGTCGATCGAGGGCGTTGCAGTCTCATACAGTGAAGATGCCTGAAATGTATAATATTGGGAGAACCATTGGGACCTGGGCTATGGCCAGATGAGGGTATGACACAAGGAAAAGAGGAACCCGGAGTGTAAAGCTGCGTCCTCTTCGTACTCCTCCTGGTTCTATTCTTTGCTGGACATGGTCGCCTTTTCATAGCTAAGAAGACACCAGTCCGGCTTGCTGGTATTTTTGGTAGCGCGATAAACTGCCAGCAAGGGTTTTTCTGCTGGCATTCTGTTACTTATTGCGATCTTACGAGGACGCTAGGAAGACGCCAGCCGAGCGATTGGCACAAGCTGGCGTCATTCTGGGCAGTGTCGAAAGACTTTTATCGAGTCTCCGCTACCGCCGCTGCTATTCGCTAGACATGATCGGAGATCAGCAGTTACTATGGCGATTAGCAAACTGCCTCGGTACACTAAACTCGCCCGGAGGTGTTATGTCACGCTAGGCCGTTATGGAGAAGCAGATAGTGGAAACACATTGGAAAATCCAAAGCGTCGGAATTGGTATATGTAAATATTACAGCATTGTAGTATACCTACATATTTTTGCTTACTTTAATTATACTCTTGCACCCAACTGCGTTGTAGGTCCACCTCAGCATCGCAACTTTGCATGAAAAACACAATAGAATCCAGGAACATGTGACAAAACTGTTTATAATATGGCACATTGCCAATGTGTTAATGATTTCCAATTTCCTTCTGTAGCGTAACATCATAGCGTAGTCGTGATAAAAACGTAAATCGTAACGAAAGTTAGGCAAACTAATTTTCCTAGATACGATCAGAAAGGACAATCTTGCTGTTTAGATAAATCTGAAATATCGTAATACAATTACGCTAAATCCAAAATAATATAACGTACCGATTAAACTTATAGTGCTTACATAAACACGCACATATCTCCGGACTAGATAGATATGCAGTACGTATGTTCTGTGACCTCACTTCGGCCCTAGCCTTTGAATCTCTTATCCGTTAAGCTTCACGACAGCGGTTTAAACTGTACCTTTTCTGTAAAATGGCTACGTACGTAGATATCTCGGGCCAGAGCTCCATGTTTGCTTCAAGGATTTGAGCGTTCGAGTCAGCAAGGTACCCCTTGCAAGTGGGTTGCCAAATGTAGAAAAGTGTCAGGGGAACCCTATAGGGGAATCTATTATCGACAATAAGGCCTCCACGCATCGGTGCGCCGAACGAGGCTGCAGTGTCTCTACGCATTTTTTGCACACTTTGGAAATGTGGTAATAGTCGAATGCCACTTAGTTACTATTATGGTGTTTATTCCCTTAGCTGATCTATTTGTAACATTGAAAGATCTTTCTGGTTCGTTATTGTTTCAACGTCAAACGTCTCAAGGGGAGCTGGCAATTCATTTCAAGTATCATGACGATTTGGCATGCCGCATTTTCGACAATTATAATTTCAACTGTGTTGGTTGAGGTGCACAGATACTTTTTATTAGCCAATTTTACCGTAAGCTCAACGTACTGAATGGTGCTAAATTTGAAAAACATCATAGAAAAGCGAAAATGGCTATGGGTAATTGAGCATTTCATGTCGACTACCCGAAGCAATCCTGCCCCATAAAAATAGGGCAGTGGAAAAACGAATACGAATGAATGCAAACTTCTTAAGCAGCTACTGGTGGGGCAAGTAAGGTGACTGACATGGGTTTGCAGATATATATAGCTCCGTTATGAAAAAGACAACAAGGAACTCCGTGAAATTGTAGGAAAGAGTTAGATAGCTAACTTTTCTCGTGGATCGCTATGCGATGATGGTAGTCAAGAGCCGAGGAACTAAACTAGCCCAGAACGGAACCGATCCACTCGACAACCTAAAATACCACCGATTTCTCCATTATTACTGCTGCTCAGGATCGATCATTTACATGCCACAATGAAAGTAAGTGCTTTTCTACAATGCCGTGGCTGCATTGGTAAGCAAAGCAACTGCTTTACTATTATGCTCAAGTCCATGTAGTAACATACTATCTACCAACGGGCATCAGCGCTGCCGGTAACCGATGCGGCCTCTTCGACTAGCGCATCCAGGGTGCCGTACGCCTATTGCAACGGTGACGCGGCCAGCCAACAGCAGCATCACAATCAGTAGATGGGGAACGAAAGCATCTCACGCAGAGCGGGGAACCGTCGTCTACGCACACGCAGTTGTAAGTGATCGCCCATCTAAGCATAGATTAGCATAGCTGCGAGGTGCTGCTCGGGGGGGGGGGGGTATTCAGTACCTTCCGGGCAGGCCTGCCAACCATTGCAGTTGTAAGTCGATTCTGCTTGTAGCCAGCAGCTATTCGTAAGGCTCAAATACCCGCTCATCGGACATATGGATGGACCTTCAGACCATCAGGGATGGATTGCTACTGATGCTGATCACATATTGCTTAACGAATCGACGAGTTCGTTCGATCCGAGATACCGTCTGCCAAACCTACTATCAAATCCAACCGAGATAGTCAAGAGATCAACTACAGTCTAATAGGAGACATGCGTGGATGGCCCTGTAGCAAAAGAATAGTGTGTATATGCCCGCTGTCACTAGCCTCGTTACTGTCCTTTCCAATACGCTACTACAACCGTAGCTATCTAATTTACTAGCAGCTCAGCTTCTCTGAGTAAACACACGCAAAACAAAGTTCGGCAGATCGACCTATGCTAGAAAAACGACGTCAGGGCTATAGGGCCGGGTGCATATAGATAAACCGCATGCCGGTACCCTTAATACTGTCGGGTAACAAACCTATAACTAGCAAGGCGTCTCATGTACTACCAGTCGTGAACAAGCTAGCTTGACAAGACAGTAAGCGGTTGCGTCTCTGTGACTGCTGCGGTTGCAAATAAGATGGTAACGGTTGCAAGAACGATCCTAGTGCTGACCAAATTCTTCTACACCTCTGCCTTTCAGTTCCACCTTTCAGTTGTTCCGCTCCAGCCATCCCAGCCGATTCCAGTCTGGTCGGGGCTGATTGGGAATGTCTCGAATCTTTCCGTGAGCGTTCGCTGTTGTCGATTCTTATTCTTCCGTAACACGTACTTCGTGCTAGGAGACATGATATGATCTAAAGACAACAAGGTCGAGAGCAATCTTCATGATGGCAGCGCGGTATAGCGAAACGTTGAAATGACCCAAAAGAGCTAAAGGAGCCCCACAGAGGTGGTACTGTCAGTCGATACAGTTTATTCCCCAGATCAGTTTCTAACAATGCAATGGGCGCAATGGGGATTCTAGGCAAACTCAAACGGAATTTTAGCAAATTTCAAGAAAAACGGCAAAGAACCGTGTGGGATGCAATATTATACTTTTCATAATCGAACGTTCCTATCGCCTAGGTTCTGTAGTGTCAGCATTTTCTGTCCATTCTCTTGACCTGACAGTAATAGCATTAATGGAGATTGATAGAGAAGGAACAGATTAAGTTACTGTGGTTGGTGTCTCTTCCACAGCAATTTCAACAGAAATTTTAGGATCTTTTGCAAAACTCAGTTTGAAACGGTTGACTGTTTCCACAGGGGGCTGTCATTTACCACTATAACGTATGAGTCCGGGAATAATGGTTTTTGCTTGGCTTTGCCCTTCTGCTGGCGTTGCCGCTTTGCAATTGATACGCAGTGATCGCTGGATTGCCCGCTTGTTGAATCGCTAAATTCGCTATGTCCTTAGCGTGAGCCGTGCGCTCCAATTCGAAAAATAAGAAATGGAGAACCGAAAGGACCAATGAAAATACTAAGAAAACTAAGGCTATCCCGAACTGCCGATGTGCCACAACCGATAGACCGTACAGGGAATTTCTTGATATTCTGGTTACCCTCTGCCAAGATCTGTGTGCCAGTGTGATGCCATAGAAAACAGATATCGCATTGTCATCATCCGACGTCAAGTGACAATACAATACTACCCTGATCGTGACCAGTTCGGTCCTCTCCCAGCTCTTCATAGCCAGTTTTCCGGACTCTACCCGGCAAAATGGCAGATCTCCGGCCCACGCCTTAACTTCATCTGACTCGTTTAGAAACACTGGCGAGCTGACATAGCCAGTACAAAGTGGCGACGACTAGCGGGACGTTTCTTCGTAGCCCCTGCTGGTGCCGTTTGACTGCTATCCTGATGACAACAGCTGGCCGATTAGAAAAATCATGGTACAGTCGTACAATGCACATACAGAAGCTCCTTACATGTAATAAAATACTGTAAATGCACCATGAGGGGCACTCTCGTTCCGCCGGCTACTATACTAAGCTTGCTCAGACCTCGATTCGTTTCGGCAACTCTGGTTTCCTTTTTCATCATTCTATGACGGAAGGCCATGGAAGTGTATTAAAGGAACGTGGGTCTCTCTAATGCAACACAACTGATTTACACTGACACTGAGATATGTATAAACCAACAGGATGCAACCAAATGCAAATGCATGAGAATGCGTCTATCATACTAAATCGTTTAAATTAAAACTCGTATCCTTCTTGCATTGCATACAGGACGTGTCATGATTGCATTATATTCTTTCAAAGAAATTTGCTCTAGTATGCGATTGGTCATACGTAGAATGGATTCGTTTTATTAAAACTCGTCGCTAGAAATCCCTGCAAGCTGCGGATTCGCTGAACGGACCACTGATTATATACTTCTAATTTCTATTTGTGTACCTTTGCCGAATTGCTACTTGTCTGTTCACTTGTACCTTACAGTCAATAGTAGCGCGATAGGCGGCGAAGGCCGAACTCAAATGTTACACAAGCCACGCTCAGATGTCCTTTTGATGTTTCCTCATATTTTCCCAATTTGACTCCCATTGTCAGTCTTCGAGTGCCCTAACTTTCTCCACTCACAGAATGGAGCTGTTTGCTATTTTTTTCGAAAGGCTTGCAAGACCCAGTTCGCTTTTGACGTTCGTTGTATCAGCTTTATTGACTATAGACCGATCTGTTTCTTTCTTGTTTTCCCACCATTAAAAGAACTAGCTGCTGCTTCTCTTTTCCTACTGCCGCCGTCATCTACGATTGCCTACGTTGCTTTTTCGACTAAATGGGAAAGACAAACATATGTTATGTCTACCAGGGCGCTTCTTCTACACCCGTATACCAAACTAGCAGCATCGGAGGGAGGCGATAGCCGGCCATCGCCACACAGCACAGAGCGTCTCTATTTCAGAGCAAAAATAGAAATAAAACAAAAAGAAACAGAAGACACAGAAGGCGTCAGTAAGAAGAGAAGCTTCGATAGCAGTCGCCAGCCTAAAGGCGATCGATGGACACTGCTCGCACCCCTGACGGAATAGGTCAATGTGGCCAGCAGCAAAGTGGATAGAAGAGGGTAGAAGTGCGTGATAGGAGAGCAGGGTGCTTGAGGCTGAACAGGGTAGACAGAGTTCAAAACTGTCCTTTTCCGAGCACGGCACCCGTCGGCGGTAGGGCCAACCCACGGCCCCTTTTTCATAGATACTCAGCCAGTGGGGCTTAGATTCTTCGGTATGGCTCTTTATACGTCCCGTTTACATACAATACTCGGCACTTTTCCATTCCACTGTCTTCTTCGGGTGCAGAATTCCTGTGTGTTCTTTCGCCATTGCCGATGTTGCAGCCGATAGCATGGTCGTTGATACATACATGGTCGTTTCGCGTTGTTTTCGTGCGTCTCGCATCAATGTATTTAGTATCACCCAGGTCCCCTTGAGTTCCCACTTGAGAAACCAAGCTTCTATGTGTATCTGCGTACAACACTTTTTAAGCGTACCTTTTTCTCTTGTTGTCGCTGCTGCGGTTGTAGGTGCTGTTACTAGCTCTGGGTTTTGCAGCTGCGCAGGCTGCTTAGGTGGCCGCATCGCTATTGCAGCTGCTGCAACAGCTTAGAGTGAACTCGGGCAATGCGACATCATATCGGCACCCTTCCATTGCAGAGCAAGTAATAGCATACAACTAGGATCTCCGAAAAGACCGTTTTTCCCCTAACTTACACTATGGCTCAAATGGAGCCGGTATTAGTAAGGGTATCATTTTAACATCTATTTCATTTGTCAGCCACCTGAGTGTCAATAGTATAATGACAACATTAGATAGTAATATAATTGTACATATGGCTTTACTCCACTAGTTAGATTTGAGAAAACGAGCCTGAAAAAATGAAAGCGAATTTTCAAAATATCTAGGATATTTTTAAAAATATCCTAGGTGTTTTAAAACTTGGATAGGAAGCTTAGTATCTACAATGTACTCTTTATAGAATAAGTAACACTGATTGGGTTTTTTGTGGTCCGCTATTTTCGCTGACGTCCCACTTCAAAAAAACAGCCAGTTCTAACTGCTATACGGAAGTTCGTTCCTGTGACCTTTAAGCTGGCTTACACGGTCGCCTCCATCAACTGTATTCAATGAAACATTTTTTTCGACATAGATGCAGTCCATCCAATCGAACCATCTGAACGTGCGTGTTGCAGATAAATTCTTACCTGCGACAACGTGCACCGATATGCTGACAGGCTCAGCGTTGGCTGGCCCACATGTATAATTGCCCGAGTCGAGCACGAGTGCCCGTCGAATGTACAGCCGACTTACAGTCGTATCAGTACTGGTTTTATGCAGCGTGATTTCGCCTTTCTGTGGCATATAATTGATCATCTTGTCGTTGTGGTACCAGAAGACGAAGGGAGGAGGCTCCGCACTCTGACTGATCGTACACGTTAGATTTATGGCACTGCCCGTCCGGATGAACATTTCTGGGCCACCTTCAATACGGGCTTTCGCAACTGCAATAGAAAATCAGAATGGTACCGTTAGTCACTGTCGAAAACTCCAATTGGATTGCAAGTGCTGACCTAAAGGTAAAGCATATCACAATTCGACTCCACAGCCCAAACGATTAATCAGTTTCTTATACAGGCTTAGTTTTAATACTAGATATAATCTGAGCGCGGATTGGCCTTCGATCAAAAAGATCATTGCATAGCCTAGAACTTCACTGTTTGGATAGGGTTCGGTCCTGCAATAGCAGTTCCTATTATAAATAGAATGATGCACGCATCCTTCATCTTCCTAAAACCTAAGTCTGTTCATTCCGAACTAGCTGTTCATAATTGACATCGACTGCTAACTACGGCAAATAAACTTTTTCATTGGAATTTACAGGTTTTTACCCTGAACCGGCCTCAGGCACCAAACAGAGTCAATTTAGGCATCACCATTTGTCGATATGTTGGGTCGTTCAACGACGGTTCGTTTGATGCTTAGATTGCGATGTGTGAAAAGTAGCAATCAATCTCGATTTGTCTCTCCTTCTGCGTTAGCAGTGGTAGCGAGCTTGACAGGAACAGTACAGGCTGACGAACCGCAAACCTGGGCCGCACAGCTTTCGCAAAAAGTCAAGGGTTTTGCAAATACGTCCGTTTATCTGGATTAACTGCCCACATCGATGAGCTCCTTCTGACGAAGTAGTGCAGACAATATTCACATAGGGCCTCGTATATCCTGGTCGCCAGTGTGCATGGGGTCTCCTAACATAAGCAGTCTCTCATTGTTGAGGCTGCTGCAAAAGGGGTTTCAAAGTGAAAATGACTAAAGTTTGAGTAAAGTGAAGCCGGCGACTCAATGACCTTACTTGATGGACGACAAAATCTCCTAGGTAAGGAACAAGATATTCAGGACTGTTTTTTCTTTGTCCTTCTTTCTCTTCCTCCGTTCTCACCCCTTTCTCGGTGTTTTCCTTATCCCAGTGAATTTTTCCCTTCAATAATTGTACTTATCGTACGATACTTAGTTTTGCTCCGTAAACTGGCATGGTGTAAGGAAAACTAGGGTACCTTTTTTGAATATAGCCGGAGCGGCTCAAACGACTGCATTGAAGAAAAGTAAATAAAGGGCTAAGCAAAAGGCGTAGGACTGTGAGCGTTAGCTAGTGCCTGCTAGACTCCTTACTAAACCCGGGTCCCTCGGGGAAGACTAGGAGGCCATAATAGTAGTGTTAGTATTTTGCTCCTATCTAACATATGCAAAGTGCGTTGCCGCGATCTTTAACTCCTCCTTTCGGCTTGATTCCACCGCTTGTGTTTTTCATCCGCCGTTCGCCTGTGTGAGTTGTCTTCGAAAAAGCTGACGCCTCGTGGGTTTGCTTAGGCTTTTCCATGCTATCACCAGCACTCGCACCCTGAGCGGCGGCAGAACTAACGCTACCAAAGGCTACCATGCCCGCTAATGCCAGCTCCACTTCGTCCTTTAACTCAGCCCCAGCAAGCGCTTTATAGTCCCATCTGCCCATAGCTCCCCTGACCCTCTTTTAAAGTTCTTTGTCCTTGTGTTCCTATACCTCACTTCGCGTTCTCTTGCCACTACTGTTGCTACTACTTCTGCTGCGTTCTAGACCGGCTAAGGCAAAACCCATCGAGTGGAATTTATGTTTATTATGCCTTTCCTTCTCCTTTAGCGCTCTGTGACGATGTTAGTTTCTCCTCACCTCTCTATCCCCAGCTACTGTCATCTGGATCCTGCTGTCCCATTTCCGTCTCTTGAGCGAACAACGAAAAGGCAAAAGGGGGAAAAGAGAGAAGAGGCATTTAAAGAAAAGATTGCTCTTGGTTTCGTTCTGTACAAACCGCCGCCACCGCAGCTGCTCCTTCCACAATTCTGCTGCTATTGTTGGACGACGAAAATGATCGCCCTACTTCCACCTTGCGCGGAAAAACGGCATGCACTTGCTTCGCCATCCTGCCTCGATTCTAACCCTTTTCTCGTCCGCCATCAGGAATATGCATATTGCTCCCTTGCCTAGAGCCGTGCGCTGAACGGCCTAGCTGCAAGTCTTTTCACTTGGGCTGGGAAGAGTGGATAAGTCCCATGGCGAATACAAGCTAGCAGTCACCGAGCACGCAGAGTTGTGTAGGCCATTAATGTTCCATGACCAACATTTTGACCTATCCCGCATACACGCTTGAGCCAAGTCGACGAAAATGGGGATCACAGCTAAATAAGGACACCCGCAGCATTTTACAGTGAGTTCGACGTAATTCTTTTTGTCCGTGTAACACTACGTGGTATCGGTTAGACACGAGAACATCGTCCAGAAAATGTTCTGTTCATACACGTAACAATATTAGGTGGCGAAAAATGTGCCTTCGCTGGCAGGCTTTATGCACCAACGTAAGGTATATCTGTTCATTGTGACTTACACTAGCAGAGACAATGTACTTCTTATGACTGAGTCAGACGAAAGTGAAAAGCCTAATTTAGCGAAGGTCAGGTTGGGGTACTTCTTTGGACTTGCCTACGTAGTGGTCATCCTATGCCTCAGGCTGCGATGTGAGCGCTCCCGTAGAAGAGTAAGTCTGTTGGGGCCTATAGCCTCACAGGACAACGTACAGCTCGGTCTATTACATACGAACATGGTTTAGAGGCGATACTAGTAATGGTGGTAGCTTACAGTTCGCGGCACGCTGATGGGCTGAAGAAGAGCCTTTGCTCCTGGGACCATTTCGTCATCGTAAGGCAATGCGTCTTCTTCCATGACAGAAGTGACAGGAAGTCTCCGATAGGACGAGTCAGCGAGCCACTGGCTGAATAAGCAAGGATCTTTTCAGCTAGCACACAGAGATACCCCCTGCCAGTGCTGCCAGCGTCTAGCAAACATACTCATCAGTTCGCCAAGAATCGCCGGTACTGATGAGTGTCATCGCGCTTTTCGCACTTATTCCGACCAACGTCCGTTCGTCCCAATAACTTCACATTCTACATTGCTTCGCCGTTCTACCCCTTTCTCCGGACGCATATCCAAAACAAACGAGATGCCACTATATATAGCCCGTGACATATATAACCAGGCGGTGTCATTGCTATATATTACAGGATACTTCCATTAGATGGTGACGGAGGTTGAGTCCTACACGGTCGCAAAACGCAGCTTAACGTAAGGTGGAGTAAAGAACGGGAATCGAAAGCGGCAAGGCAACTATGGCTAGATATATGGATGATCTGCGTGTGGACTTAATATAGCACGATAGCCAGTATAGATCGCATTATGTAACATATCATTCTCTCTATATGAAAACACGTTAATACGTGCGTTCATTAGTTTCAGTTGGCAGAGAGAGAAGGAGGAGTGACAAATCGAAGAAGTGATTGCCATCTTTCTTCTTTGGTTGCGTTCCATTACGGAAAACTCAAAGGATCTACGAAAAATGAATATAGATGAAACCTGTGCGTCACAATATTGACGACAGAAAGATTCTGATACCTTTTGCACGTCGACGAATTGCATGTGTGTTTGAAGTCACCCCATATGTAATGTGATGGATTAATTACTAAATTTACATAGGTATATATATAGATCAATAAATTAGTTTACACATGTTCACCAAAGCTAAGAGATTCCTCCCATGCCTTAAGCTTTAGATAAAAAAATAAAAAGCTGAGTCCTTTAATCGAGTTCGGAGTGCGTTCGTAACTTCTTAAAAAGTTGTATTGTGCGTATAACGACATAGACATGTTTGTCGCAACAAGAGACCTTCACTTACCGAGTACGGTGAGGTTGACAAAATACGAGATTTTCGGGTCGGAAGATACCTGACATTCGTACCTGCCAGCGTCGCTCATTTGTACGTACTTGATCTGCAACGCCCAGTCGTGGTTGTCTACGTGCATCGTTTGAAAGCGATCGTCTGCTGTGAATGTGTCCATACCAACTGTGAGCACGTGAGCATCTTTACGGCGAATCCACAGTACCTGCGATCCAAACACAGACCCGGTATACGGAAAAAAATCGTCGTTATAGTGGCAGAATTTTTTTTGTATATTTCACGTTCGGTACCTAATTCTTTGGCCATTCCTTTAGACGGCTAGTCGTCAACACAAGGCGGAACGTCTCTACGCTCAAGTTCGAATTTACATTACCCCAAACCTAGCAGGCAATACTGTCAATTAACTCATTGCGTTAAGGCGGAGACAGTGACTAATGGGTATCTGTAACAGCTGATCTAGCCCTTATCTATAATACTATGTAAAAAAAAAAACAAAAAAAAAACTTATTAAAAGAAAGTTATTCAACTTTCCTCGCTTGATCTTTCGCCAATTCGTTTGTTATTTGTCGGGTATCAACCCTACACATACGCACGTGTCGGCTGCAAGCAAGTTACTGCGTACTCACTACGAATTGCTGGTATTATCTTAGATACGTTAGAAAACCCATATATACACATATATATAATCCTCCTGGTTGAACGTCTGCTTACGCGTACCATCATGCGAAATGGCCGCGTCCATTACTATAGATTTCGTTTCGAGTATTGTTTTTTTATTAACTCGCTTCTGTGCGTCACGGACCTCTAAACAAGTACTACAACTTTGATCAAATGTCTACCACCTAAACTTAAACGTCATTGTTAGAAAGACGCTATCATTTGTGAAACGGTATAGCTGGTTCGCGTAATGCGATTGTTGGTATTTTCACTGTCTTAATTATGTGGCCGATTTCGCTATTCTGACGCCTTATTGCTCACATAAAAGCGTCTGTGCCTGCTACTGTTGTATCTGTCGCGCTAGATTCATCGCCTGACTGAAATAGTGGCCCTAAACGCCAATTGTGGACTGGGCCGTGAACTTTGTTGAACGCTTTGTCTAAAAACAGTGGCAATAGTAGAATCAGCTCCCACCACTTGTCCAATTTGGACGGCTAATTGCTTTCGAAAATACGGGAAAGGATTTCGGCTCGTTTATCCAGTGCGCGACTTAGGCCTATTCCCTGCTTGTTTAAAGGCTGGCTTTAGAAAACGTCGTACATAGGAACGTCTGTACTTGAGCACTGTTTGTTAGAGATCGCTTCTTAATGCTACGTCGCTCGTAAACCGTACCCACTCGCTATAACATTTTTTGCCAAAATGTGACTTTGCGCTATTATCTATCTAGAGACATCTTGCAATGTATACAGTGGCAGAAGGAATAGGGTAACTGCTATTGTATGTGTTGTGATTCATTAATAGAGTATGTTAAACTAAGCTAGCTAACTATGTCGCCAATACGACGGCCGCTGACGGCAACGGATAATTGTTCGTTCGTACGCAACACAAGCCTTTCCCTTTTATGTAGCATTTGAAAAAGTATGACCAACATGTAAACGTCAAAAGCAGCAATCGATGATCGTCACAAATTCAAGGCGTTAGCTTAATTCAGTCAGGAACAGTTGCATTGAACCGTACTTCGTCTAAACGCTTCTAAGTCCTTGTTATACATTAAATTATTGATGGCCTTGCTTTTCTGTTATAAGCAATATGACAGTAATATATCAACTTGCTTCCAAATGACTGCTATCCAATAGGCTAGGAAAAGGAATAAGCTCGAGTCCTAATAGTTATGGTTGCTGACGATCTCTAAATCTAATTGACGAGACCTTTTGAACGTCAGATGGAGTTACCGTTAAGCAAAATGCATATTCTATCTCAACGATTGTGGACAATTAAATATGACTTTGTTAATTTTTTTTTGACAAGTGTAGACCGCACTTGAGTTTCGTGTCTGCGGAAACGAAAGAGGTTCGCAATGGCCGCAATATCTTACAGTGTAAAGGTGTCGTCAATAAGGCCTCTACATCTTCTCTCTAAAGATCCTTATCTCAAGATTTTTACTTTTGGCGTGCTGCAATCAATTAGGTATCAGTATGGCGGGTACAGATAAGCTGCTGCATCGTGGTCCTACGATATGAGCAAATATACAGTTTTTCTTCGAAAACGATGCGTCACCGCATATTAACATAAAGATTACTCAATGTCCTTTCACGGACATCTTTACCGCTGTAGCATAGGAAAAGTATGTGTAATGCTGCCTAGCATCAAACGTCGAGAAGGAAAACGAGGTTCGGCTAAAACCTAGTAAACAATTGATGTCGGCCGATTGAAATTGCGCCGAATAACTTGGCAGCTCGGAAATGGCTGGTTACCGCAAGCGACTTTTCATGGTTGGTAGCATCGTCAGGAGACGATGAACAGCAAAAGGAATGAAGCTCGAATAAATGAGGGTAAACAGACAGTGAAAGAGGAGGAAAGAAGAAAGATGACATCCCGCTAGCTGCGCCATCTCACATCGTATATACTGCCCGAGAATTGCCCCTTAAAGATGACGTTTGTACAAAATCCAACAAAAACACTAGTATGCAACAAAAGACTTCGCCCACAGATTGCCTACATGGGGCTCCTCCCTTGATCTACCTCATTTGCGGCATCTCATATGAAACGCGGGAAATTGCTATTCGAATGCAGTAATGTGTCCGCGACAGAACGAATAGATAGTTTGATCAACAAGGGAACATGCGGAAATGCTACTTTGTTAATCTAAGTGAATGAATTATATATATAAGGGCGATTCTTATTGGAAATTATCCCATATTAAATATGGAAAGTTGTTCCAAGCATAAGTCGTGACAACTCTCAATGTAAATGAACTGGCGGGGTTTCCACTGCTCTATTTAGAAGTCAAACTGTTCGGCTTTTTAGGCCTTTAAAAATAGCAGCAATCATCTAAACAATATATACACACACATACATGTAAACCTCTTCACGAGGCCATTTATAATTGTTATTTAAGTAACGCAGACAAACAATTTACCGGGGTTGTTTTTTTATTATAACAAACCATTTTGTTCACTGCTGATCCAGAATATTTTTCAAACACCACTAATGACCCTCTAGTCAGACTGATAAGTCACTATACGTATCAGATTCTTTTTGACAGGACACACTTTCAGCGGCGACATAGGGTTATCTGATTTCTGGTGGCCAAACAAAGCTCTCACAACGAGGCCAGAACGACCTCGATATGCAAAAGCAATGCGCAGTTTGTTGGCGGGTACTTTGTCAACATGTCGATCTTATCAGTCAGTATCGCGTGACATCGACGGCGCTAACCATTAAGCGGCTGTAAGAAGGCTCTCAGTTGACGCTGCCTACATCACTGTTATAGGCGATCACTCATCGAGCATACCAGTGCCGACTTCGTGTCACTGCCTTTACAACTATTAGTATGTTATTACGCTTACTAATGTTTCTCTAACCACAGAAACAGGGGCAGGCTACGGGTCGTAAGCTAGTTATTGGATTGCTAGCGGGCTTGTCTCATGTCTTTCCGTCAATTATCGAAACACAATAGCCTGGCTGGAGAAACGGCTTCATGTTGACCGGCGAGAGCTGGTTGTGACCACGGGATCAGCAGCACGTGAACGAAAGCTGCAGCCTTATTTTTTGCCAGCTCCAGTCCAAATGTGGCGTTCACCGATGAACAACTTGGCGAACCTTCGTTGTCAACGGAACTTTTTCGTTGCTTTACGTTCATAGCAGGTCCCGAGTAATAGGCTCACTTATTTCATGTCAAGGGGAGCATCGACTCCGACTTGCCTGTACGTTGCCTATAGGTATATTATCAAGCATGCACTGCTACGATCTTTAGCCTATAGTGAATTGTACTTTGTTTCATCTGTGCAAGGAACGTTTACTTTAGAATATATCAAATACACTATTGCGACGTCCTAGTTTACAATTACATGTTGCTCTTTTCTATGAAAGGATGCTTGTGCGCTCAAAAAAATGCTCTTGCCAATGGCCAAAATGACCCTTTGCTTATATCTATCCAGAAGATACATAGTATCACGAAAATAAATAGCTTATAAATAAAATGTTTGGCGAAAAAGCTTTTCCTATTAGATCTAATCCGCTAGATAAAAACGTCCTAATGCTTCTTCAGCGTACACAATATTTTTCAATGTAGTGTTTGCACTTTTGACGTCCTTGGATATCGTTATATAGAACATGACGCGGCTTTTGAGCTTAAGATGACTAGTCAGCTCACCGCGACGAGTGATATGTCTGTGCCCATTTTTAAGTCCTTGCATTTGTATTGCGTTGTACTATCAATGAAAGGCATATTAAATAATAAAAGTTACCCGCAAGCTTCAACAAATCATATCGTATTAGTCGGACCACCGTATTCTCACCCAATATTAGTCTAGTACGGAACGAGAGATTATAGGATCTTAGTTTTCTCAGTGTTGCTGGTGTCGTGCGACATTTTGCCCCTCTGCTACTTCTACGTCCTTTACTGTTTCGGTTGGTTAACCAATAGATCGTAGTCGTTTTCTATTGATCGGCTTCAGTGTGACGTATCGAGTGAAAAGCAGTGAGAATTCAAAAAAAAGGCCTGAGGTGGATGCAGATAAGGCGGCGGAACTGAGCGCGCAAAAGGAGGAAGGACATGGGAGGAAGGAACGGAAAAAGATGAAGGACGGCCTTATCCCTAAAGAGGCAAGCCGAGCAGGAGCTAGACGAAGCGAAAGCGACGCTCGGGCAACAACAATGCCACCAGGCGTCTTTTCCTACTGGTGCTGTTGTGACGGCTGCTATCAAAGCTCTTATGCCCAGCCAACCCGACGATCGCTTCCTTGCTACTAGCTGCAGGTTGCTGCCGCTCAGCCGATGACACAAAGCAAGAAAAATGGAACGACCCTCTTCATCGGAGATTTGTTAAAAACTGTCCTTGTGTCCTCCACTGTCCTTCGCATTTCGGCCACCCGGCGCTGGAGGGGGGCTCGGCCGATGCCAGCTCACGGATTATGTTTCTTCCATGTGATATACTGGAAAAGCGGAAGCGTCGAACGGTACAAGTCGGGTTCGCCAAACCGTTCGAACTGTGCTTCTGGCTGGCCGAAACGAGGCTTACGTGAGATTGGATCCTGACGTTTGTAC